GCGGGGCGAGCCTGGGGCCCGCGCCCGGCCGCCCCGGGGCTCCCGCGGGCGCGTCTCCGCTGCCCTGTTGCGGGAAGGGGCGGCGCGCCCGTACGAACCGGGCCTCCGGGGATACCTGGCTGTCCGGGCGGCGCCGCACGCAGGAGCCGCTGCGAAACGTGGCGGGAAAGCGGCGCCTCCGCAGGAGGCCGCCCGGGCGCGGGCATGCATTCGTCGCTGCAGCAGCAGCAGCACACGCTGCTGGCGACACACACACACACCACCACCACCACCACCACCCCCCCCCCCAGACTAGGGCGGCTTTAAGCTGGAGGGATTGCCATATATTCATTTTCAGGTGTGTGGGTTGCCATTGAACTGTGGGCTCTTGCTGACACACGGGTGAGCACGTTGTCTGACTCCAGGTGTATGAACAAGCCATGTCTCCTTAACCAAGAAGCCATGGCTTGTTGTTGGGTTGTAAACTGGGGGTTGTTTGCCATAGTTTATCTCAGCTGGATTCAGCCAACATGATAATCCATGGTTCAACAAGCCACACAAGCCTTGAACATGGGTTATGCTGCCGCCTGAACTCATTCATTAATGTGTTTGTACCCTGCCTTAATGCTTTGCACAAGTCATTAGAATCTCTTCCTCCACATGCATGTTTTAACTTCATATACTCGAGATGTTATCCTAGTTTAATTAAACCAGAATGGCTACCAGACTGGAATCTCTTTTCCCAAACATGCTTTTAGCTGCTGCATAGAATAGAAAAGATCGTATTTTATTCCATGCATGTAGTCCTAAAACATACACAGAACACTTACCAATTTGTTCCATTTTTTAGATTTTACTTGATCCAGATTGACTGCCACAGATCAGAATCCACACACTACCCGTAAACACACATGGCTTATATACAGATTTGCTTGTCTGTAGGGTTATGAGCAGCTGTGCTGGACAACACCCTTCATGCAGAAGAAAGTTGTGTATACATTCCTCCTTTAAGATGCAAACCTATGCATGCTTTAAAAATAAGCTTTCCCCAACCCATAAACATGTCCTTCAATTCCCAGTAAATTATGCTGCGCAAGTACATTAGCATTTCAAGTGCTCTGACTCCTTCTGACAACTTGATCTGGAAAGGACCTCCAAGGGGCTGAAAACTGCTTGGAAAAATAATCATACCCTTACTTGGTGAGGAGCGATAACTTCTTTATTTGATTATTGTCTACTTCATGCGGAAGCAAGAGAGTCCCACTTCCCCCAAGATTAAACTTTGGCAAAAGTCACAAACAGAAAATATGCAGCCATTACGGAACAGTGAAAATGCCAACGGTAAGGACGCCCCGGGACAGTTCGGCTATCAGGCAAACACGCGCGGAAGTCTGTTTCGGCTACGACGACGAGAACTTGGTGTTGGTTGGAAGGCAGGGTTATTTTAAAAAAGCAGCATCACTTCTTGACTTCTCCTAAATCTTCAATGCTATCGTCGTCTACCTGCAAGACACAAAATGCACCACTGGTCAGAAGAGAAGCCCCTCTAAGGCCAGGAGGAGGTCGCCAAAACACGGAGCCGCCAGGAAAGAAGCTGGTGCAGCCCGAGCGTTTGAAGGCGCGTTCGCTGCGTATTGAGAGGGCAAAGCCCCCTCTGATTCCCAGCGTTCCCCAGCCAGCTATGCATGAGGATGGCCTACGGAATTGTAATGTGAAACACGATGAACAATGAGAATATACTATTATGGGTTTATGGCAGGAGAGCATGGACAACCAAAAATGTTTCTCATGCCATTATACCACCAGTTCATGGTACTTCATCCAGTGAGGCTAACTGGCCATAGGAGGTACTGAATCCAGAAGGTTTTGTCAAACAAGTTAAGCAGAGTTTCTAGTCCTCATGAAGGAAACAGATCTATGGCTGACCAGTCTAGCCACCATCTCCCTCCCTCTCTCATAGATACGCATGCCTGAGGAGTCTTGATGGCAAAAATGACTGTTCACGTTGGCCAGTAGATATCTGGGTACAAGAGGACAGCAAGTGCAATATATGGAAATTTAAACCCCACCCGCCCACACACAAAAAGCTTGCACTTGAATGGCAACATAAAAATTCACCTCAGGCCACTTTTCCTGGATTACATCAATTATGTCATCTGTAAAGTCCCCCTGAATGATGATTTCATCCTCTCCCGTTACTGAGGCACCACAGGAAAACTTCTGGGCAAAGAATCTTTGTGCTTCCTTAAGGTCTATTTCTGTTTGGAAAACAAAAACCATGATAAAAAATCAACACTTCTTTCTCCTTTCGTTCACTGCTTTCATGAATTTAATTTTATTTATTTAGGAAGTCGCTTGAAATCCCACCATTTTTCCTTCTGCAATGACCTCAGAGAGGCTTCCATGGTCCTCTCCAGTTCATCTTCACAGCAACCCTGTGAGGTAGGCTAAGCTGAGATTCAGCAAAGGCCCAGTGTCACCCAGTGGGCTTCGTGGTCAACTAGGAACTAGCATCCAGACCCCCCCCCCCCCCCCCCGTCTCAGGCCAACACTCCATCACACCACCCCACAGATTCGACTTTACATAAGCAGGTGAGAGAGGAAAATAAATACAACTTACATTTAGACAGAGGAGGAGGAGAAAGGAGCCTGGGGAACGGTGGGGGGGGGAATGCCTTCAAAAAGGAGCTACATGTGCAGGGGCTGTTTTTAAAAGATTAAAGATGTGGAAAGGCTGTGTCGTCACCGACACACGACCACAGGAAGGCCACTCGCAGCCAAGAACCCAAGAGAAGCAGGACGTATCAGATCAGAGAACGAGCCGTCCCTGTGCTGCCTGTTCCGAGTTCAGTGGGACTCGCTCCTGCATAAGCGGGCCTCGGATTGCAAAGAGCAGCCCCCCAGCAGGCCACTGCATGGCCGGCCGCCTCAGCAACGATCGCCGAAGCGGCAGGTGCGGTGCCTTGCGCCCACAGCGGAATCACGGCTCAGAACCCTCTGCGAAAATAAGGCTTCTCTTCACTCACCAAAAGTCGCAAGACCACATACTCTCGTGACGTATTTCTTCTTTGCTCTGGGGATTTTTGCTATCGTCACTTTCTGAGGTACCGTTTTCTTCTTCTGTTTTATCTGACCCCTTCCTCCTGAGGGACGTCAGAGGAACTGCGTAAGTCACCAGCCCAGGGGCTGTGCTCTTCTCCAGAAGCAAGAGTGTGGGGTTTCGGGGTCCCAGCCCTCTGCCAGGGCTGTGTCCAGTGCAGGGGCCCGGGGCCAGCCACCCTCCAAGGGGCCCTCCCTCAGCAATTCCCCGGCCACCGGCCCCTCTGGCTCCACAGCCTCCTTCCTGCCATCGCTGCTGCCGGCTTGCTCGACAGACGGGCAGTGGCGCCTCGGGCTCGCCTTCTCACCACCGCTGCCGCCAGGGCCGGGGTGAGCAGCGGCTGCACAAGCAGAGCCCAAGGGCAGAAAAGCAGCTCGTGGCCCCAACGGCAGCCCCTGCTTGAGTGGAGGCACTAAGCCGGTGCCCAGCGAGGCCCAACCCGGAGGCCAACCCTTTCCTCCACCCCGACACAACACGGCCCTCGTCTAAGCACCGCTGATGTGCCTTCAGGAAAAAGCGTTCCGCCCAGAAATAACCTTGCCTCTCTTTTGCTTTTTCTTCTCTTCTTCTTCACCAGTTGTCCCTTGACCTTCTCCAACGCCAGATTCTTGTTTAGGAGAATTCTCTAAATGAGGATGTAAATTGTAATGACAGTCTTTAAGCCTGACAAAGGAAGAACTCAGGCACAAGATCCCTTTGGAACTGGTACCAATTGGAACCAGGAGGTTCCCTCTCATCACAATTGTGGGATTCGAGAAGAATATAGCTTATATTGGGGATGAAAGCAATCATGAAGTGTGAGGAAAAGCAAAGTAATTACTACTGTATAATCTAAGGATAATGCTCTTGGAAGAGTTACATGCAGTTCCAACCAAAGCTAATTCTTAAACAAGCACCACCCTGGTTCTCCTTCTGACATCCCTAACAAAACCCGACCAAATTCATCCAAAAAATCCATAGCCATTTCCTTCCCCCAAACGGTACAATCCTATGGCTGTGTCTGCTCAGAAGAATTCCCACTGCTTGCAGTGGGGCTTCCTCCCAGATAACCGTGCACAGGACTGTGACCCACGCCGCACCCAGGAAACAACACAACACAACCATTTTCTTACCTACAGTAAGCTTCGCAAACTCGTTTGGAAAATTCTTCTCTAGCCACTGCCTGCATTTCGCCACGTCAGGCATGTATTCGCAATACTGGAAAAGAGATACAGCCATGATGTTTTTGCTGAGGGAACCGCTGCACACACAGAGAGTGACGCGGCCTTTGTGGCAACGCTTTGGTTCTCGGATGGGTGCGAGCACAGCAGCTCCACGCAGCTCTGTGCCCAGTTACTGCAGATTTCCACCCAGCCGCCACACGGCTGCATAACTTCTCCTATTTCTGATGTTCAGGCTGAGCCCTGTTGCATACGTAGCCGAAATGATACCACCCCACATAAAAGGGAGGCATCGGCTGGCTTAGGGAACAGCGGAGTTTGCAAAAACACAAACGTCCTTACTACAAACACACAGGGCCCCAGAAAAAAGCGGGGGCAGTGAGGACCAGTTGTGCTCAGTGTTCACCCAGAATATTTGCTGGAAGGGAACAGAAAAGAGCAGCTGGAATCCTGAAGAAGGAGCGTTCCACACCGTGACATTTGGTTGCAGGCTCATTTGTCTCTATCTGAAGAGGATTCATGTTTACACTGTCAAACTTGAACTGGGAAGGCCCAGTTTCAAGCCCCCACTACCACAAGACCCCAGGCGCTCATTTTGGACCTTCTCGGAGGCTGCTCTGCCTTACAAGGTTGCCATGAAAATCAAAAGGGGGAGAGAGTAATGTTAACTACTGTGAGTTCCTTAAAAGAAAAGCAGGATATAAAGGACCCCAACCCCAATTCAATTCAGCCAAAACAGAACGGTTTAACATGTTTCCCAGAAGACAGAAAATCAGAACTGCCTGATTTGCTAGGATGGGAGTCTCTTGCCGCGTTCCAAATGGCAACGGAAGCTCTCACACAGACCTTCGTAGCAGATCTGAAGACACACGGCGGGAGCCATGTACAGGAGAAGCGGTCCTTCGGGTACTTTGGGCCATTAACACACACCCACACAACAGCACAGAAGGGTGTGAGCGGCGGAAAAGAGATCAAGCCCACACGCAAAGCAAGATGAGGGGGTGGAGTTCCGAGGGGGTAGAGAGACTTTTCCCATTTCAGAGTTCAGGTGGAAGGTCACATTTTGGAATACTCCCATGCACAGAGCTCTTTAAAAGCGGGAAACCAGTACAGCCAGAAGGATGGCTCCCAGTGCACCTGGTCTTCACTTGCAGGGTTTGCAAATGGTACAGCCCTCGCTTCCTCCTCACTCCACTGTCTGCACAGCAACAAACACAAGCCCTTCAAAACTAAGGCAGCTCACCTCTGTTGGCAACGAGCAGACTGGGGAAAGAAAAATAAAACGGGTTTTAATTAACATCACATTTTCTTTATAGCTATCATATTTTAAAACTTTAGCACTTCTAAAATAGCATATTAATTCTGACTATGACATTGTATTTCATCACCATTTACTGCTTCCATCACTGTTTATGCAGCAGATTAAAATTGTAAAAAGATGTCACCAATTTCCCTCAAAGTCACACCTTAGGAAAAAGAAAGGCAGAATTCAGGGGTGGGAGAGAATTTACCCAATTTTATGCATCCAACTGTTCAGTCTAGGGTTAATATACATAATATACTTAACATGCTGAGATAACAAACCATGCTAAACAACCCGCAGTTCACAACCCAGCAATAAGCCGTGTGTTCTCTTCATGGGTTGTTTGTGGTTAACCAGTTGTGGTTTGTTAGGTGGGTTTGGATAACTGAAGCCACAGCTGTTCAACCATGAAAAACCCATGAAGAGAATACATGGCTTGTTGTTGGGATGTGAATGGTGGGTGGGTTATCTTGGCCGAGTTCAGACAACACAATAATATATGGTTTAGCAACAACCCATACTCAACTCTTCTGAGTTATTGTGTTGTCTGAAGCCAGGTGTTTTCTCAAAGGTGTCAAAGAGAAACTTTTTAAAAATCTAAGTCAGTGCGTTCCAGAGATAAGAATTCGTTCATCAGGACAATCTTATAAAAGGCAAATACTAAAAACAAGCTTACAAAGATGGTAGTAATTTTTGATAAACTATAGTTTTTCTTTTTTATAAGATTGCCTCTGATGAAAAAGCCTTTGTCTCTGAAGCATGTTGTGGTTAGATAAAGAAGTTTCTTTTTGGTGTCTTTAAGAACAGGTTTTAATCAAACACCTCCAGAGGGTGCCAGTCCAGGGAAGAGTTACTTGCCTCCGCAGTAGAGGACTCGGAGGGGATAGTCGGCATCCGGTCTAGCGCTGCACCTTTGGTCTCCTTTACAGTCCACAACAGCTGTCTCGGCGGTATCCATGGCCACCACACGAGTCTAGAAAGCATACAAGCGTGGCACATCAGCCCTAGGAGCCGATGCAAATCGTAGGATGGCCCAAGACTGCAGGTATGCACCCAGACCCCACCTCAAACAAGCCACTAAGACTTTTACTAAGGGAAAAAAACACACACAAGCAGGACTCATTTCGGGGGGAGGGTCCCATCACACTAAGGCAGTCACTACATAGGCTTAGTGTAGGAGTCTGCCTAAGTAGAGTCTTGTCTTGTCAATCAATCTCCAACTGCACTTTGTCGCTTCCTTTGGTGAGTAAAGAACCAAGGAAACATCCCCCTGAAGAATCTGGGCGCTGGGCAATAAGGGAGAGCCCAAGAGTTCAGGAACGCCCAAAAGCTGCCAGCTGGGCACAGCAGGGGAGGTACTGAGGGCGACGGTGCTGAAGCACCGGGGTGCCAGGGTGAAGGCAGGTGCATTCGGGGGGGGGGGGTGAGCTGGGTGTGCAGGTGGGATGGGGGCCAGCTTGAGGCCCTGCTGTGAGCTAGGGAGAGTGGGGGCTGCACATGTCTCAGTCGGGTGGGTTGCAGTGGCTGCCACCTTCAAGCCAGATGAGGAAGGCTATCCCTGAGGGAAGGGGCAGCTCAGACAAGGAGATGGGGACAAGGCAAAGACCTCTGATTCAGTCCGCCGGCATCTCCAGTGAAAAGGTTCCCAGGGATCGTGCCATGGGGGGAAGCCGCCCTCTTTCTAGCTGGGGCGCTACTGCTGCTCAAAGGCTGAAGCAAGCAGCACTACTGGCTGGGAGATTGGGGGAGGGGGGGTTGTAATCCAGCCCCCCTGGAGGCAGCAGGAGGGTGGGGAGCGCCAAAGCAGACAATGCCCGGGGGGCTGATGGGCAACGCCTGTTGAACAGCCGCCTGCCAGAGAAGGAAGCCGCGACGGAGGCGCGCTCGGCTGCGGGTCCGCCGCAGGGCTGCCTGGAGCGCTCGGGGGGGGGGGGCAGCCTGGCCAGCACGTCCATTCCGAGGGGGTCGGGCAGCCTCGCCCAGGAGCGAGCGGCGCGGGGGGGGGGCGCGGCGGCCGCGCACGCCCGAGAGGCGCCCCCGAGGCGGGCAGGCGGGGCTGCGGCAGCAACTTTTCCGGGCGGGAGAGGAGCCCAGCGGGCGCCCGGCACGGCCGGGGAGGCGCGCGGCGGCGGCGGCCCCGAGGCGCGGGAGAGGCGGCGGCTCTCACCCGCGCGGCCCTCCGGTCTCCGGGCGGGGGGCGGCGGTCGCTGCTCCTGCCGTTGCCCCCCTCCGGAGCGGCACATGCGGCGGCGGCGGCGGCGGCAGGTATCGCGAGAGCAGTGGATCCTCGCGAGATTCCCCCCCCGAGTGGCTCCGCTGAGCAGGGGGAGGAGTCCGCCTCCAGCTCGAGGTTCCGCCTTCGGCGCACGGCTTGGGATGAGCCACCCCGGCCGCCGTAGTGCAATGTAGCTACAGGTCAAGTATCTGTTTAGTGTATTTCGTGTATTTCAATCCCGCTTGTTTATTTGAGGACAGCCCTGCTGGATCAGAGCTGTTCCGGCCTTCTGTTCCGGCCCTTATTTAACACAGTGGCCAACCAGCAACCTGTGGGAAACCCACAAGCAAGCCGTGAGGGCAACAACACCCTCCCGCCCAAGCTCCCCTGAACTGCCGCATGGATGCCTCCTGCCTCTGCTCCTGGAGATGCCATGAGGACTAGTAGCCATTGATAGTCTTCCCCATGATTTTGTCCAAGGCGTTTTTAAAGCCGTGCAAGTCAGTGGCCATCACTACAATTTTTCTTGCAAGGATCCCAAGGTGGCTCACATAATTCTGCTCCCCTTCAATTTACTTCGCAGTAGCCCTATTATGTAGTGTTGGTCTGTGGCAGGAAATACAGCAGCCTCCTAACAAATTTTATTATTTATTAATTACAATGTACAAAATGAAATCAGACTCAGTTTAGAGTGGAAACACCGCCTAAGACGTGATGATGATGATAATGATGATGAAATACCAGCAAGCTAACGCTACTGATATCATTGGGTCTTAATTCCTAGTAAGGCTACTACAGTATTTTTTCAAGCTTTTGGACCCAGATTATAACATAAACATTTAAATAATACAATATAACATATTGTAATAAATATGACGATAATAAAAAGCATATCTCCTCTCCAATCCCCCATGGGCTTACGCAGATAAAAGGCAAACCCCCACAGGTATACGAGAATCTGCGGCTTCGCAAGAGTTAACTCCGTTCAAGACTTCGTTCAAGACTCCAAGTGCAACCTCCGACGTTTGAGCCTTAGGACTTGCCGTAGCCGAGGAAAAGAAGCACAAACCATAGAGCTAGGGATAGAGGGGCCATGCGATCGACGGGTCCTTGGTTGGGCCAAACTAGTCGCGCGCACTCCTCTCGCGGTTGCGCGCAAGGCCGGCGGCCGCGATGCCCCGCTATGCCCAGCTGGTTATGGGCCCCGCGGGCAGCGGGAAGGTGAGTGGCGAGGCGCGCGGGCGGGCGGAGGAAGTGGCCATAGGGAACGATCTGGCCTCCCGGGCTGTAGGTTTCCGCGGGTGCGAGTAAACTGCGGTGCTGTAGAGTTGCTCCGTAGCCCGCCAGGCAAGCCTTCCCCAGCCTGACCCTCTGCAGAGTTGTTGGGCCGCAGTTCCTATCATCCCCAGCCAGTAGTCTGGTACATCTGGAAGGAAACCTAGTTGCGAAAGGCTGCCTCAGATCATGCATTTATAACTTATCATAGTTGTTGGCTCCTGCCGCTGCTGATGGCGGTATTACTCAGCAGCAGCAGTCCTTGTTATTGTTGTTTCTTAGTTGATTTTTATCTCTTTGTTTATCTGTACATTCAAAGCCACCCTTTACACAAGCAAGAAACACTAGATGAAAAACTGGCAGCAAGAAAATTGTCGCCATTTAACTCTTAATAGTCTATGCACAATATTAAAAATATTGAGCTGGTACTAAAATATCAAATTAGCCACTGGATGAGCCTTCCGGGTTAGAGATACCCAAACAAAGGTGCCATCACTGTGAAGCTTTTCCCCAGCCTTTCCTGCTTCCCTATCACACCTCAGACAGATGGGAGCATGCAGTGAAAACCTTAAAAGATGATCTTGGGACATAGGCAGACCGAAGGAGAGAGAGGGGTTCCTTCAGGACCTTGCTAAACCCTTCTCTAAAATTACTGACCAAGATAGCTTACATAATCCCCAGTACAAAATTCAGTAAAACTAGAGAAAGCAGTGATGACTCCGTTATATAAGGATGTCTCTTTAGAAGCAGTCGTATACCCTTATACCTGGGCACTGACTGCTCAACTTTATTCTCTGTAACAGAAGCAAAAGGTTCATAACTCTGTGAGCACTGGCCCTAAGAAAGGTGCTGGAAATGTTTGCACTGGCCTGTCCTTACCTCACAGCTGTGGGGTTACTGCCCATTGCCAGAGACTCTCCATGTGACACTGACTGCTCGGTAAAAGCTCTGCGTTCTCAATTCCAGAGCACTTACTGCTACAACATGGTCCAGCACTGCGAAGCCCTGAATCGCTCAGTTCAAGTGGTTAACTTGGATCCCGCTGCAGAGCACTTTGATTATGATGCCATGGCAGGTAAAGTCTAGGCTAAGGCCTCAAGCATGAAGCAATGGAAAGGACGTCCCTGACCATCTCCCTTGCCTGGAAATGCGTGTCTCATCCATAGTCTTTGACAAATGGAAGAGCCAATGTGGCACAGTAGGTAGAAAACTGGACTGGGACTGGGTGCTAGTCCTCGCTTGCCCATGAAGTCATTTGGGCAAAGCACTAGGACTCAGCCTAGCCTACCTCACAGGGTTGTTGTGGAATCAAATGGAGAGGGAGACTATATAGTCCACCTTGAGCTCTATTTTTCAGATATCCGTGAGCTGATTGAAGTGGATGATGTCATGGAAGATGATTCACTAAAGTTTGGTCCTAACGGGGGCTTAGTTTTCTGCATGGAATACTTTGCAAATAACTTTGGCTGGCTGGAAGAATGCCTGGGCCACGTGGAAGATGATTACATCCTTTTTGATTGCCCGGGTGAGCAGAGCATTCCAGCTTTAAAAAAAAGACTCAGTTCAACCCAGTGCAGAGCCCCTCTTGAAAGGGAGAGAGGACCGTCAATAACTCTTCTTCCTGTGGCTTGCTCCTTAGGCCAGATTGAGCTCTATACCCATCTTCCTGTGATGAGGCAGTTGGCTGAGCAGCTGCAGCAGTGGGAATTCCGCGTGTGTGGAGTCTTCCTCGTTGATTCCCAGTTCATGGTGGAATCCTTTAAGGTATGTGATAGTTGCCTCCTCAGGGGAACCACAGTTTGTTACATTTCAGGGTTTGAGCTCGACTAGACTACTTTTTAGTATTACCTGTATTTATTTACTACATTTGTATCCCACCCTTTTCTTTTTTAAAGAGCTAAAAGTGGCTTATATCATTCACCTCCCCCTGCCCCCAGTCTTATTCCCACAACAACAACCCTGTGTGGCAGGTTGGGCTGACTGGCTCAAAGTCAGCCTGTGGGTGAGTGGGGACTAGAACCCAGGCCGCCCGAGTCCCAGGCCAGCGCCCTCGACCACCACACTGCACTGGTCCTTGCTGCACCTGAGCAGACAACACATGGTTTGGTGGAGTTCAAGGAAGTATGTGTTTCCTTCTGTGTCAGCTGCCATCCAGATGAAGTTGGGCTAGACTTCCCATTATGGTTTGCCTGACCGTGCCTGGTCCTCCCCTCTTCTTCTCATGTCTCCTCCTGCTAGTTTATCTCTGGCGCCATGGCAGCTCTCAGTGCAATGGTCTCCCTGGAGATTCCCCAAGTCAATGTCATGACAAAGATGGACTTGCTAAACAAGAAAGCCAAAGTGGAAATTGAAAAGTAAGTTTGCCAAAGGGAGGCCTCTTGCCTTGACGTGGGTGGAGATGGACCGCAGGGGTGCCTTCTCCTCCTGCATCTTACTGGCTCTTGCCGTGGGGCTCTTACAGAGACCCAAAGGCCTGGAAAAATCTGGGAGCAAAGAAACGAGAGCTCCACAGGCCAGTTGTGAGTCAGAGGTTCTGCATCTCTGCCGTAGATGGTAACACACCAAAATGGGGAGTCAATTTTAAAGTGTAGAGGAGTTCGGCTGAGGTGCAGATCATATGAAGTTCTTGTCAGACTGCTGCATTCTAAATCTTAAGTGACCTCTTCCAGGTACCTGGACCCCGACATGTATTCTATGCTGGAAGATTCTACAGATTTGCTCAAAAGCAAGCGGTTTCAAAAGCTGACTAAAGCCATCTGTGGGTTGGTAAGTTGCCTTTTTAATGTGGCCTGTATAGCTCACATGGCTAGATAGTTCACTGTTTTTGAACAGCCACCTGATATCCTTAAAACTCCCACACACGATGGCCCAAAGTGGTCAGTTAAATCGCCTTTATACTTGGCCTTTGTGTGTTGTCGATCGATCGCCCTGGAGGCGATCTGTCAGTGCGAAGCTTATAGTCTTGTGACCACTGCGCATTCTAGCCAGAACCTGCTCTCCAAATCTCTCCTTTTTAGATCGACGACTACAGCATGGTTCGGTTCCTGCCTTTCGATCGCTCCGATGAGGAGAGCGTTAACATTGTTCTGCAGCACATCGACTTTGCCATCCAGTATGGGGAAGACCTGGAGTTCAAAGAGCCGAAGGTAACCGTTCAAGCCACAGTCGGGATGGGAGCCAGTCTCACAGAGTACGAAAACGGCTGAGTCAGTACCGGAGGGGCAGGACAGGTCCCTGGATTCTCCAGTTTGAAAAAAGGAGCTGGAAATCATCACAATGCAAGGTCCAAGGCCACTCACACCCACCACCCAATTAGTATCATGTGGGGCAGGCAGTGCTGCACTTCGGAAACTGTCCCGTGCCTGTTTTACAGAACGATTCAACACCTTGCAGGCAGGGCTGGCTGGGAAATGCAGGGAGCTGTACATTTTTTCTGCATAAACATGCCTCGATTTCACCCTTATAATCCTAAATGCTCTGACTGTTTCACCATATAGTGACATGGTATAAAACCAACATTGAAACTGTGTATGAGCAATAAAAACGTAAAGACGTTCCAACAAGACAGTCATAAAACACAGCGCGGTCACAATCCATTTGAAAGTCGGGAAAAGCTTGTAGGAAATGCCCTGAAGAGGACCTAAGGCATGACACAAGTTCTGCCTTTCTGTGTGTGTGTGTGGGGGGGTATTTTGGATTATGGGGGCCTCTAATAAGAAGGTCTGCTTATATGCTGTTGGTTAGAGATACTGCTGATCACTGTTTTTTATGAGGGAAAATAAGGGCATGATTTCCCTGCGAGATAGAGTGTGTGTGCCTAAGTTGTGCATTCTGGGACATTACAAACTATTTTTTCCCAACAGGAAACTAAGGAAGATAACTCTTCAGCTTTTGATGAATATTTCCAAGACCGAGTGGATGAATGAAGATTTCAGAATGAAAGACTGTAAAATACACAGACTCCTTGATAAGTCTAGTGAAAATTGAATACTGGACTTCTTTCCCTCAGTGAAGAGTTTAATATATATAAATGGACACTGCCACTTTGTACAGTTTTTGCTTTGGAAAAAGATACACCTTGAAGGATGAGAAATAAAGGATGACGTTACTACTTATTGCTATAAAAAGCAGGAGAAACTTCATCTGTTCTGTTTGCCATGGTGGCAGCTGAAGCAAACACAGAAAATACACAATAATGTGCGTGTATGTGCAACTGCGCATTTATGTAGTCTAAACTCTGCCTTCGAAGGATCCCATCTCCAAAGTTCACACCCCACACCTTTGTAGAAAGGGATGTATGGGCGGGGGCGGGGGGGGGGGCGTTGATTGCAGGAAAACCCCTGTGCAGGTGAAGCTCATGTGGGCCAAAAGTGAACTACTGTGAGGGGATCAGACGCAACAGGGTGCGCCACCTTATTTCAGCCACAGTCTGGCAGACAGCCTCCCTGGGCTCCATCGCCCGCCCCACATGGGACACCCCCTCTGGTTATCTCGAACCTTAGCCTGCAAGTCTTTCGGTGGGCCTGCTCTAAGGAGAATGTTTGTAGCGTACGCTTAGCTGGGAGCCAGTTGCATCAGACTGGGTGGGCACCGTGGGCGCCCCTCTGGCGGGCGCTCGGTTGGAGAAGGCTGGCGCAGCCGCTGTCCTCTGCTGCCCCCTGCCGGCTGGCCGGCGCCGCGCTCGCCTCGCCCGCCCGCACTTCCTGCCTCCTTCCGCCGCCTTGGGTGGAACAGGAAGGTCTCGCCGTTTGCAGAAGCGGCTCCCCCGCTCGCTGGAAGGAGGCTTCGCGCGCCCTATTCCCGGCCGAGGCGGATCGCTGACCTCCCAACATGCCGGTGAGAGAGCGAAGCGTGGCGGCCGAGCGGGACTCGACGGGCGCCGGGCAGGACGAGCGGCTCCCGGCCTCCGCCTGCTGCCGGGCCGGGCCGGGCCGGGCCGGGCCGGGGGGCATCCTCGCGCCTGCCCGCTCGGACGAGGAAGTGGGGGTTGCGGGCAGACGCAGCGAGGCCACGGGCTGGAAGGAAGCGGGTGCCCTGCGGAGGCAGCTCAGTCTGGCGGGGTGATGGGAGCGGTAGTCGCACCCATGCGGGGCCCTTGCGCGGCCCCCCTCTGGAAGAGGCACCCTCCGCCGGCCCCGCTGCCCGGGAAGCCTCCGCCGCGGGAGGGGAGGGGAGCCGCGCCGTGCCTCCGGAGGGACGCTGCTCGGGAAGGCGCGGAAGGGCCGCCGTGGCCCCGCCGCCCCCAGCCCGGGGGAGATGCTCTTGCCCCGCGCACGGCCGTCCCGAGAATTATACTCGCGGCCCCGACGGCGGGGGCTGATCGCGGCGAGGGAAGGGCGCCTGGTTCTGCTGCGTGCGGCTTGGCTCGCTTTCCGGAACGACTTGCCTCCGAGGGCACAGTGAAGATGAAGAGCATCATTTCCCGCCAGGGGGCTGCCCCTGATCCTCCCGGGGTGGAGAGGGGCGTCTGGGACACCCTCCCGTTGTTTGGACTGCATCCTTCCATCATCCTTGACCGGCAGCCATGCTGGCCAGGGGCTGATGGAAACGTGGTCCAGAGCAGTTCACCCAGCAGGTGGGTTTGAGGCAGTGAGCCAAGCCAGCCTCCCGTGCATAGAACCAGGGAAACACCCAGGAAGTTGCTGCGTCTAGTCATGCCCGAGTCTGTCCAGCTCTATACAGTCCACACTGACCGGCAGCAGCCCTGCGTGGAGGCGCCAGGGATCAAACCTCACACCCTCCCCCGCAAACCATGCAGACGCTCTGCCCACAAAGGAGGCGCTTCCTCCGTCTCACGCCCCCACGGATGCTTCCTGGCTCGCTTCCCACACCTCCCCTTCCCTCCCTGGTGAGGGGAGTGAGCAGCTGTGCATCCTCTTCGGCGCACTTCCGGCATCATCTCCCGCTTGACTCGCTGACCCGTCTTTTCTCTGGGGCAGGCCTATCACTCCACCCTGATGGACCCGGACACCAAACTGATTGGGAACATGGCCTTGCTGCCCATCAGGAGCCAGTTCAAAGGGCCGGCACCCAAGGAGAGTAAGGCATCTCGTGACATTTTGTTTATTTCTGTGCTACCCAGTAGCCAAACCTCCCTGAAAAGTTTATGCAGGTCAAAACCCTAAAGTGCAATAAGATGCGATTTAAAACCGGAAGTATAAAATCATTCGCTGCCAGAAATCCCAAGACCCATTAGGAATCTAACGCTATGTGATCGAATGCTTAGGAAGAAAGGGAAGTCTTGATTTGTGCTGAAAGCTCTCCAAATTCCCTTTTCTCCATCAACTACTCCAACTTGCAGCTGCACAGCGAAAGCTCACCACACCCCTAGTTTCACCTACCCTACTTAGAACTGCTCTATCACAAGAGCGTAAGAAGAGGAGCTGTGCTGGATCAGACCCGTCTGACCCTGCCTTCTGCTCACCAACCGGCTGCCTGAGAGAGACACGTGCACCACGGCACCTCCCTGCCCATGTTCCCCAGCCACTGGTGTATATTTATTTATTTATTGCTTTTGTATGCTGCCGCATAGCCGGAGGCTCTCTGGGCAGCATGCAGGCATAACTGCTTCTGAGACTGCGAGCAGCATGTGGCCGTCAGGACTGCAGACCCATCCAAAGCGGGGCACGTCACGAGAATTTCCTAGTCACCTCTGCCGTGTGACGCGGTCCTTCCCCTGAATCTCAGCTTCCGTGGATACCTCACTGAGTTCTCAGATTATGTGAGAGGAAGGAAAGTGTCTCCCCCCCCCCCCGCTTTCTCCACACTGTGAATAATTTTCTCCCCCAAGAAGCCACACATCTTAAAAATATCAGTCATCTTTTTGTCCCACCCGTTAGCCAAAATGGCTCTCTGGGCTGGTTACAGAATATAATATAAGAATAGTCTTCAGCTGTTTGCATAAATTCCTCACTTAATTATTAATTGAACTGCATTATAACTCTCCCTTTTTGGTAGCAAAAGATACGGATATCATAGATGAAGCCATCTATTACTTCAAAGCCAACGTCTTCTTCAAAAATTATGAAATCAAGGTAAGGAAAGAGAAGGAAAGGAAGCTTGTGCACACGGGTGTCTGCTGTGGATATCAGCCCCCCCCCCCCCAGTCTTGGCATCTCCCAGCAGGGTGCAGGGCTACAGTTTCCATCCCCACTCACCAAGTTCAGTAGATGTGCTGACTGGGGATACTTGGAATTAGAGTCCAAGGCAAGGCATATGTGGGGAGAGCTGGAAGAGAGAATTTCGGTTTTCCCTGGAGCTGATGCATTTTTATTTCCAGAATGAGGCTGACAGAACCTTGATCTACATAACGCTGTACATCTCCGAGTGCTTGAAAAAGCTGCAAAAGGTAATGGAGCTGATACATGTGTGCCTGCATGATTTAAATGCTGTATGATTTAAATGCTATATATAGATAGCATTTTAGCATATATATATATATATTAAAAAAGGCCTAGTGCTGAACTATTGCTGATTGCCAAAGCCTGAACAGTTCTGAGCACTTTTGCTTTATTCAGCAATTATTTCAGCTTAGCAAAGCTGCAGTGCATTTTAGTTCCTATACTAAACCACCTCCTGGAGAAGAATTGGGGGTATAGCAGTAAATAGGTGTAGCATAGCCAGAGTTAATATCATGCCAGAATTAATTCCAAATGCATAATTCCAATTGCTATTAATGGGCGAGCTGTCTGGGATCCCCACAGTGGGTCAGGATGTACTTCTGTTTTGGAGCAGTTAGAGAGTATCTTCCGTTGCGTTCTGTTTGGGTTTGTGTCTCTCCCTCTCTTCTGTCCTGGGTCATGCATGTGTTTTCATTGCCTCCAGTGTAACTCCAAAGGCCAAGGAGAAAAAGAAATGTATACATTAGGAATCACAAATTTTCCAATCCCTGGGGAGCCAGGATTTCCACTAAATGCTCTCTACGCCAGACCCAGCAACAAGCAGGAAGAAGGTAAGAGAGATGTAACAAGGAGGACTGCAAGCTTGAATCTGTGGATTGAGCTGACAGTTGGTTCACCTTAAACATGGACACTCAGAAGTCCACGTTTGCTCCTGGGTAAGCACACGGAAGATTCCACTTGGCACATTCACGCCAAGACATGAGGCAGCTTTCCCTCCATTCTGCCGCTTTTTACATCGTTTGCCAGAGTATATCCAGATCAGAGCAAGCCAGCGCATCACTTGTGCACGTGAGCTGTTCTGTTCAGTCCAGCGGAAGGAGTAAATCTATTTGCACGAAGGAATGCTGCGACTGGCTGAGCCGTGTCGCCTCTGAACGAGCGCCCTGCCCACCTGCCGTCCTCTGCTTCTTCACATTCCCTGCACCCAGCATCCCCCGAAGGATCCTCAAACGGGGTCGCTTGTCCATTTGGTCCTGCAGAGCGCGTTCTGCCACGCAGTCCAGGGGGCAGGCGTTTGCCTGCACTTCTAGGCTGTCAGCCAAGAGTGCTCCTTGGACTTGATGAATCAGAAAAGCTGTTTGGTTGAGAGTGAGAGGGCATTTGCAAAATGCGGCATTTGTCTGAAGGTGCTATAATGTGATCTGTTCCTAGCTAGGTGTTCCTTTCTCTGTTTTCAGAGGTTATGAGGGCTTATTTGCAGCAGCTGCGGCAAGAAACAGGCCTGAGGCTGTGTGAAAAGGTCTTTGACCCCCAGAGTGACAAACCTAGCAAAGTAAGATGTCTTTTGGCTTAGTTCTGCTTAATACTAACCGGACAGCTAACTGAAAAGAAATGCTTTCTTCACATTTCTTAAAGGAGAGAAGAGCAGTATTTGTCAAACAGTTGGCATTTATAACTGTATAAATAGCTTCAAGGGCCTGAGGTTGCACATTTGTAATCCATCATGTATGTCTCTAGCTGTGAATAAGGAATTCGAGTGAATCTCTCATTACAGAAGAGCAAACTCATGAATGTATGTGTGTATTCTGCTTATACATCCATCATATCTATGCACATTTATGATAATACAACCCAAACCCATTAGATAGGGTGGGATATGTTTTCACATGCTGGCCAACAAAAACAAAAGCTTTGTGCTTAGTCTCCTCTCCTAAAGTTTATTGTGGCTTTAAAAAAAAGGAAACTTGACAGAGAGTATGCATTTTTGGGCAATAGCCCACTTTCTGTCCAGTCTGATTCTGACAACTTGACAGTACGAAGAAAAGGCAAAGGTGGACAAACACTGTGCATGATGCCAGCTGATAACACTGGGCCTCCCTGCCCTGGGAAGCTCCCAGTGTAGTGAATTTTATTTGACAATACGGGGAGGCACATCAGGATCAGACACAAGGATTGCCATTTTCGATGAAAGCCCCACTTCTGCTATAAAGACCTCTCTCGCTTCATGTTTACCTTGTTTTCTTTTCCTGTCGTCTCCTCCTAGTGGTGGACCTGTTTCGTGAAGAGGCAGTTCATGAACAAGAGCCTGTCGGGGCCAGGCCAGTGAAGGGGACTGTGTGAAGCATTTTGTTGCCAGATGTATAAAATTCTGCGCCTGTTCATGTTTTCTACGAAGAGAAGTGCTTCTTTGGCAGAAAAGTGGAGTGAAATCGTGCGCATTTTGTTGAGCTGGAGTGCAACAACAGTGATATTAAAAAGTGGTTTCTAACATGGTTTTGTCTGTGCTTTCAGCTGCCTGCAGCATGTCTCAGCCAGGGATAAAACAGAGGTAAATCACCAGGTGTTTTCAACATCTAATCTCAAAAATCTTTTGTAGTGGTGTACAAAATCACGCACAGTGTAGAAAAAGTGTAAATGGAGACATTTGTCTTCTTGGGTAATCCTAGAACCTGAGGTTAGCCCATGAAGCTGAGTTGTGGAGACTTTGGGGCAGATCAAAGGAAATAGTACTTCACGTGGCACATAGATAAACTATGGAATTCACTTCTGTGACATGTTTTTCCCATCGCCAAAGATCTGAGAAACTTTCAACTGGAGATGCCAGTGGACTGAATCAGAGGTCTTTGAGCCACTGTCCCCTATTCCTTGCCTTAGAAGCCAGTGATGACCACCCCTCAGATGTCTGCAAGATGGCAGCCCAAAACCAGTCCTCTTACACATTGTGAACACCCAACTCTTGCTAGCCCACACATGGATCTCAAGTTAGCATTCCTTCCCACCACGCCCACCCCCTCTCATCCACACCGCACATCTTGAATGGCTCGCTGTGCTGCCTGCCTCCAGCTTGGTACCCTGATATTTAAGCTCCATCACTTTCAGGACCTCCCCTGCTTTACCCAACTGACGCGTTTCAGACATTCCTCAAAGGCCACATTGAACTCTTGGGCTTTCCTAATTTGTCTAGCACATGGGGTTTTTGAACAGACAAGGAACTGGCCATGTTGATTGAGAGTAAAGGGAGCTGTACCCCAACACTTCTTGATGCCATTGGGCTGATAAGAAGACCCATTCCCCTCTCATAGTCCAGCACAGGTAGAACTGGACTTGCTGACTCCAGAAAATATCAGATGCAAACAGAAAAAGTCCTCCCCGGGTTTATCTTCTTCACATGCTACACTGTTCAGCTATTTCCTAGCAGAGAATGTGGCAATGATAGATTTAAAAGGGGATTAGACTGATTCAGGGAGGATGAGGATAACCATGGCTACTAGTGTCACCCTGGGTCACAGAAGCAGTGTGTCTCAGAACAGCTGCTCGGGAACATGAGGAGGGTGTTCTGCTTCTATTCTGCTTGTAGGCTTCCTGGGAACATCCACTTAGCCATGGTGGGAACATGATGCCAGCCTGGATGGCCCACAGGACCTGATCAAGGACAGCGCTGGTCATGTTCTCCCTGGGACATCTGCCCTGGAAAGGCCCTCCAGGTGCTGACTTTTCACCACCAGGTGAAAACCTCTTAATTTGTCTGGGGGCAAGAGGGTGATGCTGTTGTCACACATGCTTATATTGATGTTCTGGCTTTATGTGGCTTTCACGCCTATTTCTGCTCATAAATACTCTACAACCATGTGTAATGTTCCATTCATTTAAGGTCCAGTGAAATGTGTCTCCTCTAAATATGGCTAAGTCTTCCTGTATCTAACCCGTACTTGTTCACGGGGCATCCATTCAGATCTCATGGGACTTACTCTAAGTAAACATGTACATATGATGGCAACTTTAATATGGAAGATGCTTGCCTTAATCGTCGTTAGTCCTTTGGACTGGAGAAGGAAGCCATCACTGTCTAATAAAGATGGGCACCTCGCGCTCCTCTGGCCTTTCTGACTTCAGCTCCTCTCGCTTCACCACGGACTGCACTGACGAGGCCTGGCGGGAGTGGCAGGCCAAAAATCCGCCGGGTCGGACGCTGACTAGCCCTGCGGAACGATATCAAAAGCGGCACTCGCTGGTCCCCCGCTCACTGAGAATTCATTTTGAACCACAGACTTCCTCTTCCTCCGCCAGCGTAGCCGTGAGCACTGGATCCCATCAGCCCCAGCCACCACAGCCAACGCTGAGGGCTCATAGGACATGCAGGCAAAAAACCCGCCTCTCCACCCATGCCCGCCCCGCGCACGCGCACACCGCGTCTTTGCTTGCTCCGCCCTCCTCCAGTTGTATACCGGGGTGTCCACGCCACTGCCTGATTGTAAAAAAATAATCTTGCCTTTATGAGGAACAGGAATGCATCTTTTTCCGAAACAAAGCAAAACAAGAAAGATACCCGAGGCCCGACGACAGCGCCGGAGCCGGAAAGAATGCCGCACCTGGGGCGCCGCGGAGCGGTGAACGGCGGGCCGGCCGGCGAGCGGCGCCTCTTCCCGCGGGTGTCATGGCCGCCTGCCCCGTGAGGACCCCTCGGAGAGGCGCCATTTTGGAGCTCCTGCGGGCGGGCGAGCCTGTGGCCGCCGCCTCCTTCGCGCTTCTCCCTCTCGGCCGCCGCCTTGCCCGGCTTCGCGCCCGCGGCCATGAGCGTGGTGGACCACGTGCGGGAGATGGCGGCCGCCGGCCTGCACTCCAACGTGCGGCTCCTCAGCGGGCTCCTGCTCACCATGAGCGGCCACAACCAGTGAGTGGGGCGGCCGGTGGCGTGACGCCGCCGCGGGTCGCCCGCCCAGCCATGTTACCGCACAACAGCCTTGAGAGGAAGGCCAGAATGAGGAGGAGGGCGTGATCGAGCCAGAGCAGCCTTCTCCAACAGGACACCCCCCGGAGGCGTTGGACTACAGTCCCCGGCATATGGGGGCTGTAGTCGACCCATCTAGAGGGTGGCTGATTGGAGAAAGCTAGCCTAAAACAGCCCACCAGCTTCTCTCGCCAAAGCACGGATTTGAACCCGAGTCGCCCAGGCCAAATCTTTCTTTCCGTAATGCCGAAATGCCTCGTGGAGCTGAGCTGGAAGGAGTGTGTTAGGTTCCAGTAAATATTTGTGTGAATATTGGCTTTGTGATTCACATTCAAGAGACGTGGGTTCAGTTCCCCACTTGTCCAGGAAGCACATGATCGTGCCTTTGAAGCAGTCCAAAACTCTTAGTCTAACCTACCTCGCAGGGTTGTTGTGAAAATGAAATGGAAAGGAGATTGTGTAACTGCCTGACGATGCATGCGGAGGCTGGAGAGCCAGTGTGGCTTAATAAGAGTGTGGGATGATCTGGGTTCCACTCTCCTGCCCCCTGTGATGCTCTCTGGATGATGCTGGGCCAGTCACTGACTCCCGACCTAACGTCACAGGGTTGTTGTGAGGATAAAACGGTCGAAGAGGTTCACATAAGCTGTAAATAAACTTGTTTTGTTTGCATATCTGGGACATTTGGCTGCATTTCTCCCCTCTTGACTACCTTTAAATACTTGGGCACTGAGGATAATCCTTCCTGCATCTAATGAAATGGTCTCCAGGCCCCCAAAGTTTCAGCTGCAGTAAATATGCTAAGGTTGTGCAGTTGCTCGTTCCCAGTTCCCTGGATGTAAACTTTATCAGACATGGTTCAAGTCGCATCCCAGTAAAGACCTATAGGATGGCATCCCATGCATTTGAAGAGTTTTATGGTGTCATCCTGTGCAAATGGATTATTCCAGCATAAATTTGCATGAATTAAGTTTATTCAATACAGGGCAGGAGCACTTGTGGACTTCCAGATGTTGTTGGATTCAAACTCCTATCAGCCTCAGCCAGCATAACCAGTGTCCAGGGATGATAGGAGCTGCAGTCGCAACATCTAAAGTACCGTGGTGCACACACTACGATAACTGTTGGAGATCTGCTTAAAGTTTTAGGTTCCCCGAGACACTGATGGGTTTGTTGCAACAGACTAACAAGGCCTATAGAAAAGTGGAGAGACTGTATATAAGACCTCGAGCTTGTTGGATGATCTAGGACCAAGGACAAAATTTTATTCCCTGTTGGATTCAGGTTACTTGTGCAATCAGTTGATGCCTGTCTGGCTTGTGTTTCTTACAGCGAGTTGTTTTCCCCCTCGCAGAAGTATCAGCTCCTTGTGTATCATGCAGACTCTCTCTTCCATGACAAGGAGTACAGAAATGCCGTCAGTAAGTACACCATGGCTTTGCAGCAGAAGAAAGCACTGAGCAAAACGTCGAAAGTCAGACCTTCGACTGGGAATGCGGCGTCTGCTCCTCAGAGCCAGGTACTCATATTTGAAATGTTGGCCCCGCCAATAAGGCCAATGGGTGCTGCGTTGGCTGTTGATTACTTGTTACTGAAATGATTTCATATTTAATTTTTTGTGCTCTTGTGTACCTTATGAAAACTCACACTCTGGATTGCTCTGTGTGAATAGTGTACAGGTTTGCCTATCGCAAAACACCATCTGATCAGGCTGATCAGAAGATCTAAATTTAAAGTGGCGGCAGTGCACACACAATCTGGCCCTTTGAGCCCACTTCCCTGAGTGTGAGTTTGCTCATTGCGTGGGCTGCCCAGAGCCAGTCTCTTGCACCTTGGCTGTGTCCGGAAAGGAAAGCAGGGAATGGCTTCAGCCTGAGAGGAATGTGGAGAACTTCCCGGAGTCAGGAAAGGCAGTCCTGGGTGGTTCGGCCAAGGTTTAACATACTACAAAGCAGCTCCTTTAAACCCCATTGTTAAAAGTTGTATCTTTATTTATTACATTTGTATACCACCCAACTGGCAAAAGCCCTTGGTCTTTCTGTTCTCTGTGTTCCAAGCTGCCAAACTATTAAAAAGTTGTCTCCTTGGGCTATTATATTTTTTTAGTGTCTGCCTTCTGAAATTGAAGTGAAATACAAAATGGCTGAGTGCTATACCATGTTGAAGCAAGACAAAGATGCCATTGCGATACTGGATGGAATCCCTTCAAGGCAGAGGACCCCAAAGGTAGGCTCTTGGCTAACAAAGCAAGTTAGATTTTCTCAGGAGACTCTGGCTGGAGGTGAAGATCATTCTTTGAGAGAATTCCTTCAGCAACCTTTGGTTGCCAGCAGTCCCCAGCTTTTTGGGTAAAGGTAAAAATAGGGTCATTGTAGGCCCAAAGAGTTGCAGTTCAGACAAGCAAATCCAAGGCTCTTCCTCCATGCAAAGTATGATGTCTTGCGATCACACTAAAGTTTCCTCGTGTTCATTTTCTCTTTGTATTTCTGTGGGTTACAGATTAACATGATGCTGGCAAACTTGTACAAGAAGGCAGGCCAGGAACGCTCCTCCGTGACAAGTTACAAGGAAGTGCTGAGGCAGTGCCCACTCGCCCTTGATGCCATCTTGGGTAGCTGCTTTTCTTCCTACTGTGTACATTGTTTTCTTGCAGGGCAGAAAAGACATAGCTGAGAAATGTTGGTAAATATTCTTAACATGGGAAAGTGACAAATACAGATTAAGGCCTGCTCATGCATAGGTGCTACTGGGCTACAGGAATTGGCACCTGGTCTGATAGATGGCATTGCACAATCCAGGTACCTGCATGGTTGGATCACTCCTGCCAGGAAGTGGGGAGCTCGTGCCCTCCCCTCCCCCGGATAGTTTGGCCTATAGTCCCCATCATCTGCCAGTGCTAACTGCACTAGCTAAGACTGACTGGAACTATAGGCCAAAATGTCTGGAGGGCCCCAAATTGCACTCTTCGTCTTTAGCCGGCGTGTCTTATTGTTGATCTCTGAGCCCATAATTTGCTTCACTCTGCTGAGCATATTTTGCCCAAATGGTAGTCACAGGAAGTGTCGCTTCCCTTCCAGGTTTGTTATCCCTCTCCGTGAAAGGTGCAGAAGTGGCATCCATGACGATGAATGTGATCCAGAGTATCCCCAACTTGGATTGGCTCTCAGTGTGGATCAAAGCATACGCCTTTGTGCATACGGGCGACAACACCAGAGCCATCAACACCATCTGGCAAGTATCCAGGACAAACGCGGAACAGCTTTCGTGAGGAGTATTTTGCCTGGTGGCTGGTTTGGCTTGGTAGAAAAGGCTGTTTGCTCTTTCAAGCAAGCCATTTACCATACTAAGTTTTTTTTTCCAGATGTTTAACTCCTCATAAGTTAACACTCCATAAACAGGGCGCATCTTGCTACACGTGGCAGCCTCCTGGCAGAACAGATCAGGCCGTACTGTTTTTATACTGGCTCCTTCCAAGGACTGGCAAGACCATCTGTAGTCTTTGGACTCCAAACTGACCTAGAAACAAGTTACTGTTGATGTAAAGCTCCATCTCTGATGTGGCAAACATGTCAATATGCCGAAAGTGTTTGTGCGATCTCAAGATTCTTTTTGAGATGCTCCACAGTGAAAGGAACCATCATCTGAAGCTCATGCCACCTTCTCTCTGGTTACATATGAATCATGCCCTCTCACTCCCTCTGCTTCAGTTTCTTTGTACGGAAGATGATGTCCTGGCTGTAGCTGTTGAGGTTAAAGACATGATGGCACCAGTTTGCATTCTCAAATGAAAAAGATATTCCTTTTCTTTTTCCTTTTTTTATAGAAGGATGGGATATAAATTCATTTAATAAGTAGACACATACTTGGGGAGGCTATTTTTAATCTTACTGTTACAGTATTAATGAGCTTATTTTTTCAATTTGTTCCTTCCTCAAAAGTTCTCTGGAGAAAAAGTCACTTCTGAGGGACAACGTGGATATACTGGGGAGTTTAGCAGATCTGTATTTCAGAGCTGGTGATAATAAAAATGCAATTCTAAAATTCGAACAGGCACAAATGTTGGATCCCTATTTAATAAAAGGTAAGTCTCTGGAAAAGATGGAGGACTTTCTAGAAACCTTTGCATTCTTGATCCAATTTTCAGTGCATTCCTATGCCTATCTATTCAGAAGCCAGCCCCATTGAATTCAGTGGGATATATTCCCAAATAAGCGTATATAGGATTGTAGTCTGCACTTCAGCGGAATAGTTTGTTCGTTTTTTTTAACATTGTTAAGGTTAAAGAAAAAGCTAAGACAAATTAGGCAGAGAGCTCTTTTCTGCCTGTCCTTATGCTTACTAAGATCAGAGAGATGATTAAACCCCAGAGGGAGACATTCCTAATTGGCTGAAGGAAAAAATAAGTGATTAACAGTTGATGCATTAATAGCATTATATAATGGTTGTCCTTCTCTCAATTTTATCCTTAGGACAATGCTGTGAGATAGATTACGTGGAGAGTCAGTGACTGGCCCAGGGTCACACTTGACTTTGTGCCCGAGTGGGGACTAGAACCTGGATCTCCTCTAACCACTATACCGTGTCTTGTTGTTGTTGTTCTGGATAGCTAGTTTTTTAATTCTTTGTCTTCAGGGATGGACGTGTATGGTTACTTGTTAGCCCGCGATGGCCGCCTGGAAGATGTAGAGAATCTAGGCTGCCGTCTCTTCAATATTTCTGATCAGCATGCAGAGCCTTGGGTGGTTTCAGGGTAATTGACTGTTTCTTGTTGCCTTCCCTCCTCACATTGAATGTTCTTGAGGCTGAATCCATCAAAGCAAATGTTGAATACTCCTGAGTTGCTTGCTCTTCAAATAGTCTTAGGTTCAGGGCAAATGAATTAGTATCAGGCAGATAAGTCTCGAGCCACCAAAGTCTGTGGGAGTTTGACTTACGCTTTATGTGAAATGTCCAGGAGTCTCCAAGATACACTGCTTCTGAGCCACCGTTTGCTACTGCTGAACTGCTAAGAGCTGATGAATCTGCAAATATCTGGGGATTTCAAGGTTAATCTGTCTGAAATAAAATTCTGTCACAGAGAATTAACACAAATTTTTTAGTCTAGTAGCTTTTCCTTCTTAGCAGTGCTGTTTGAGGGAGTTCATTAATAAAATAATACATAAAAATTACAGAAGTCTTCAGCATCTTTCTTTTAAAGAAAAATACTGTATTGGGGAATCTTAAAAACTGGTAGGCTCAAGCAGAAGAGGGATTTCTTTTTTCAGCTGTTTCATAATTTTGAGACAGCAATGACAAATGGATTTCATTTCAGGATGTTAAAATTTTCATTTTTAATGGGAATAGACCATTCTGCCTCTAGCAGGGGAATTCCATATCCCTTATTTGATGGACAAAAAGAATTTCTGCCCATCAAGAGCAGTGACGGGGATGGGAAAATATAGGAGTTGGAGAATAAGGAGTAGGAAATGCACGTGGAAGAGATCGTTAGGGTATCGTCTCAGGCTGACGAGGTGGGCAAGGCTTGAGCCCCAAAGTGCTTTGGGGCTCTGTCAGAAAAGCCCCTTCCTACTTAGCCAATGTGCCCTGGCCGTCCTCCTCGATCATGAGAGAATGCATCCTGCGTTGACTGATGAGCTCCCCAAGCACCTTCTAATAGCGGACATGGAGGGAAGGTTGAACATATTAACGGCCATTCTCCTCCTCTTGCAGGTGTCACAGTTTCTACAGCAAGCGCTACTCCCGTGCCTTGTATTTAGGAGCCAAAGCCATTCAGCTGAATAGCAACAGTGTGCAGGCTCTGCTTCTGAAAGGCGCTGCTCTTCGGAACATGGGGAGGGTGCAGGAGGCCATCATACACTTCCGCGAAGCAATAAGACTCGCGCCTTGCCGGCTGGACTGCTATGAAGGTGGGTAAAACGGGTGAACGCTCGAAGCCGGCCATGCCAAATCTAGTGGAGTGAACGCCCCCATAGGGCTGCCTTTCCCAGCCTGGTGCCATCCAGAGGTGTGCCCCAGTTCACCTAGTCCAGCTCTCCAGGGTTTCAGGAGAGCTTTTCCAGCTGCACCCGGAGAAGCTGGAAATTAAACCTAGAACCCTCTCACATAAATCGTATGTTCTGTCCTTGAGCAACAGCCCCTCCCAATTGGCTGTACTGTGTGAGGAGGATGGGGACTGTGGTCCAACATAATCTGGAGGGCACACAGTTGGAGAGGGCTGCTATAGATCAGCCACTGAATCTCACCACTGAGGTGCCTGCTTTCTTACATGCCAGGTACCCTCCCTAGAGTTTTAAACTTCCAACCCACTGTGCTAAATTCTTTGCCCAGTGAAACAGGTAATTCTCCTGCTAGTTGCTCTTAACAGTTCTGAAATGCGGAACTCGGTTTCCTTCTACAAAAAATGACATTGGCCTCTTTGACCTTCAGGCCTCATTGAATGTTACTTGGCATCCAATGGTCTCCGTGAAGCCACAGTTATGGCTAACAATGTGTACAAAACCCTGGGAGCCAACGCACAGACTCTTACTCTCTTGGCCACTGTTTGTCTGGAAGATCCTGTTGCACAGGAGAAGGCAAAAACATTGCTGGACAAAGCATTGACGCAGCGCCCTGATTACATCAAGGCGGTGGTGAAAAAGGCAGAGCTTCTCAGTAAGTCTGTTTCCTCGCTTTTTGTGTTCCTTTTATGTGTTATGTTGACAACATGTTTCTTCCTCTGCATTCATCCTCTCCATTGCAAATTGCCCCATCTGATTCCCAAGCTGATGAAAGTTAGCAATTCCCTCCCCAAATTGTAGCCATACAACATTCTCCCTCCCATTCCCATTTTTGTGTGGTCTGCCAACTCTTTAATCTCCTTGCCTGTCTGTTTATTTTGTGGAAGAATTTGCCATTGAACTGGAAATAGCCCTTTAAAATGACTCATTACATACTGAGCTTCCCTGATGTCATTTAGCAAGGAGACACATGTAAATTCAGACTGTAGTGTTTAGTCTAGCCTTCCCCAATCTGACATCCTCCAGATGTGTTGCACTACAAACCCCATTATCCCCCAACCATCATGACCCAGGGAGTTGCAGTCTAACACACTGGAGCAGAGAAGTCTGGTTTAGGGTGCAGTCCAACGCATTGCTGGCTGCTAAAAGCTGCAAATTGTAGCACCTCTTTCTATCTAAGCCTGTATAGAAAACAATTTCGTTTAAATTTTCTTTCTAAAGGTGCCCCTAATTTAATCAGGCAGCAGATTCCTTTATATATAATTGAACACAAATACTCCCAAAAACAGTCTTTTCGCTCACACACAGAAAGGAAGGCTGCTTCTGAGATCATACATGGGTGCACCACACACCAAGCACCGTCTAAAACCAAAAGAGAATGGGATCTCTTGTGAACATCTTCAACTCTGCATATTGGCATGAGGACTCGTGCAATTAATTGTTACAATTTAATTGGGTGCAAGTCCCAGCATTAAATAGCTTAAAATCTTGTTGACAGATAGAGAGCAGAAATATGAAGAGGGGATCGCTTTGCTGAGGAATGCCCTAGCCAACCAAAGTGACTGCATTCTCCATCGCATGTTAGGAGACTTCCTTGTGGCAGTTAATGAGTATCAAGAAGCCATGGACCAGTATAGCATTGCTCTCAGGTAATATTCTGGGAACTGTTGCTGTGATGGTGATGAGTTATAACTCCTAAAAAGGGAGTATTCCGGAGAGTGGGATGGAAGAAGAGCAACTAAGATACGCTCCATCCTGTGACTTATCCAGCCCTGCCTCGGGGAGCTGAACTCTTCCAGACAGGCTCAGGAAAAAATAATAAAAGGAAGACGAAGCACTGAGAATTGATTTCATCACTCCTGGCAGCAGCCTGGCAGAATATGTGCTACTCAGAAGCTTCTGAGATTGGAGGCCTTAGAACTGTGCCCTAAACCTCTTTTTATGATCTAAGGAAATTGATGTTGCTGCATTTATCCCTGATCTGTGTGTGAAATAAAATCATGCCATGGTGCAGTAAAAAAAAAATCAGGTGGTATTCGAGTGTACTTATCTAAACAAAAACCCCAAGCAGAATTGTATCATCTTTTTCCCCCCAAAATGCATATCATAGTTCTTTATGGCCCTGGAAAGGTTTAGTTGCGTAGACTTCAGTGAGACTAAGCTATCTTAAGATGCCTGGTGTGCTTATCTGAAGATTGTTCTGTCTATCTCTGCATTGTCCTTTGTGAAAGTTGAAAAGCTATACTTCTGTGCAGTCAGAAAGTTCATAGGGTTAAGCCAACTGTATTCAGAAGCTGAACTCTGCAAGATCTCCGTAACTATGTGGACCGGCTGCACATGAGATATTTACTCCTTGGCATGTGAGGGTTGGCTCAGCCTTCCTCTTGGGAGCAAAGCAGGGAAGGCTGCATGTCTCAGAAACATGGTCAAGAAACTAGAAAACTGAAAAAGGAGACAAGTTGGTTTGTTTGTTTCTCCTGCAGCCCCATTCAGGATATTTTTTTTTCTTCCAGTTTGGATCCCAATGATCAGAAGTCACTGGAGGGAATGCAGAAAATGGAAAAGGAGGAGAGTCCTACAGATGCTACTCAGGAGGAGGATGTGGACGACATGGAAGGAAGTGGAGAGGAAGGGGATCTTGAAGGCAGTGACAGTGAGGCAGCCCAGTGGGCTGATCAGGAACAGTGGTTTGGCATGCAGTGAGATGGCCCTGAGATGACCAAGAATTGTCGTGCTTGATGGGTTGACTCAGGATATCCACCTGCTTCTCCCTGGTATGAAGGTTTTCAAGGCCCGTTTGTGCCACTGCCAAAACTGGGCTGAAGAATGATCCAAACCAACTGAGAAGATTAAAAAAAAACTCTGGTTCTTTTTTTTTTTTTTTTTGCATTATGTTCTCGGTGCTCTTTATTTAATGCGATGGCTAAGCCACTTTGATAGTTTGGTAGTGGGCAGGCATCAGTGTCAAACAGCAAGGGTGAGATCTTGTTTCCAAAATTAGGAGCTTTGAAGTATTATACAGCATTTCTCAAACATTTGCTAAAGACTAAAATGATGTCAGAATCATAGGGCAAGTTAATTATGCCTGATCCCCAGCAGTGGATAAATGTAGGCTGCTTTTATATCCTTTTATGAAAGGGGGCTTTATTCACAAAGCCTGCACAGTATCTTCAAATGCATGAACTCCTCCACAGACCTGTGGGAGGTTCTCGGAGGGGCAGTAAATTTCCTCCCAACCCTTTCCCAACCCTCCCCTGTGTTTTGTGTAGAGCACTTAATGTGCCTGCTCTTAAATGAAAGCCAGCCACTTCAGGCATCTGATTGAGGGGCAGCTTTATAGCTGATCAGTTCCCATAGAGGTCTAGATGATAAAACAGTGGTACATGAAATAATTGCAGTTCTTGCTCCTTTTAAGCCAGTATACTGGAAAAGGTGAGATCGAGCTGCCCTGAGGAAAGTAGAGCTATTGAAAAGCTCGAACGCCAATTAACCATATCCTATTGATATCAAATTTATAGCACAGTATCCACATAAATATTAATTAACAGTATCTCTAAACCTGCATAGCTCACTATTAAACACAGCCTTGCTAATATTTTGGACCTTGATTTGCTTGCATTAGATAGATTTTTTCAAATCACAATTCAAACGCAGGTTTCCCTGTGTGCCTCATTGAAACCTATTGCATGAGGAACAGAAGTGTTTTGGGTTTTGTTACAAAACACTAAAAAGAAGGGCATCTTCTTTCCTTCATCTGTCTTGACTCCTCTGTTAACTTCTATTAGCGTAAAGACTAGTTGTCCCTCTGGCCCCAGTGTTACATAACAGGTTGAATAGGGAAGAACGATGTTGCTCTTCCAGTTGCTTGTTGTCTCTCTCCACTGGAAATAGAATTCTGCTTTCCTTCCTGGACATAGTTTATTCTGCACAGTTTTGGAGGTTTTTTCCCTCATGCTGTGGAATGCTTTTAGCAGTCATAGATATCATTTCAGAACTGAAGAGGCTGGGTTTGCTTTGTTCTTTCTTTCCATTTTTGGCCATCATTGGGTGCTAGAATTGTGTGCAAGTGACGGCATTTGATGGGAGATGGGAAACGAGCTGAAGCAAACTTTAGCTGCAGTTATTATTTTGCATCTGTGTTGAGTGGAATACCAACATTACAGTCACAAACTCTATTAAACAAACAGAGCAAGCTGAAATGTGTCCCAGTCAGAGTCCCTTGTTAGTTCGCTAGATGGCTATAGAAGAGGACCAATGGATAGGTTGTAGCTCTTTACCCCACTAACAGAGGTCAGAGTTAGTGACGGGTTTAATTAGGGTTTTCATACTTAACAACAGATAATAGCTTTGCAAAAACTTCCTGAACATGATGTATGGAAGGGCCAGGTTCCCAGGAGAAGATTGGTTTCAGATGAAGGTTATCGGCTGGGCAGTATAATTGTTTCATTTCCTCTTTGAACAGCAGACACCCTGTGTTGTTTCACAAACTGCTTTGAAAATAGAAGCTGCTGAAATAAAATGTCTTAACCATCTTTGGGTTCAACTCATTTATGTGGTTTAGATCGTGGCCTGCTAAGTTAATTTTTTCAGTGCTTAACATTGTTTATGCAGTTAGCACTCTTCATAAAACTAAGGGTAGAATGAACATATGGTTAAGGCAAGATTTGAACATGAAGTTTCCCAGTTCGTGCTTTTAGCTGTGACACCACACTTGCTCTTAAAATTGCTGCAGGCAAAAACATACAGCATTTCAGTCAACTGGAGACACTGACTTTACATGTGCATGGGTGTTATTCAGGTATCTCTGTTTCAAAATTACTTACTCCCAAAGGGGAACCCTTCATTGGGGCATGTGACTCAAGGGTGGGAACCTGCAAGTCCTCATGCAGCCCCTCTCTCCCCTTCATGTGGCCTACAAGCTCCAGGAATCTCACCCACTTTCCCTGCAGACTGCTCCCTATCACTGCTATTAATTGCACTGGGACAATGTGATCCCAAGTGGGCATCGCTGGGGGAAAGATACTTTAAGCTTCCGACAAGGATCACAGCACTGTCAAGATCACTTTTATCCATCAGTTTCTAGCTATTTCTATTTCCTAGGTGTTTAATATCCACCATACCGTTATTTATACAAAGCCATTTCTTTACTTTGGTCATGTTAAGGCAGAAACATGTTGTCCCAGGGCTCTTACAGCTTGGTGTTGGTGGGAGGGGATTGATTAATGTGAGGAAATGCAGTTCTGTTAGCCTTTCTATATTGTCTGAGAGAGCAAAAGAAGGGAGAAGATACAGAATCTGGGATGGGGGGGAAGGAGTATTTCATCAATTTCTCTAAAAAGGAAAAGGAAAAGCTGGCCAAGGGGAAGGCTATGCTAGCAAGACTGCTTTTCATATACCATTTACGTAGTAGCAAGAGGAATGGGGGAAGCACCCCCACCACCATGAGAAAATTCAACTATTTTGACTTCTGTCAAGTTGATAGAGGATATAGATACTGAGCAAGAAGCGCAAAAGCTCCAAAACTACATCACTAGCCCGCTCCCCATTTTACTGGCTGTGGGTCTGCTCTTAGAACCTGTTAATGGAACTACAGCCAGCTGCACTTTATGATGAAAATGGGTCTTGACTCTTAGATTCATTAAACCCTTTGGAACCAGCCAGGGTAGCTAATATTCTGTCAAAACTCTGCAGTTCTGGTGGGAATGTTATTTCCTCTACTCATTTGCTCCTAATGTCTTTGGACTAACCACCTCCATTGCTACTAATGATGAATTTAATCACTCTTTAATGCTCTGTGCGGAAGGAGCATTGGAAATTTAACTGCAGCTGGTGACGGATGTTTATACCATGAAAGCCATCGTTAAAATTACTGCCAGCCTCCCTTTCTGCCTTCAGCACCCAGGCAAAGAGGGCCTTAATGCTCCCTGAAAAAGACATCCTCTTGTTGCAGAAAAAGCAGCCTTTTTATTTTAAGCATATTTTTAATAAGGGGGTGAGTCATGCACTTACCCTGGAACCCCCTGAGCATTGCAGCTTTAAAAAAACAGCAATCATGATACAACAATAACAAGCTGAAAAAATTACAGTCCAGGGCAAGAAAATGTGAATTACTGGCTCTCTTCCTCCAAACAAAAGAGACACTTTTTCTGTGAGGTATCATGTTTTTAATATACAGTATTTATACTTTCAGGGGCTTTTGCTAAAACAGTAGTACACAGTACTGCTTACACTTAATTAGAAAACAACACGTCATAAGCTATAACAATACACTAAAGCAACAGATACTAGCAATTTGTTGTTGGTAGTCGCGAAGTCATGTCCGACCCATCGCAACCCCATGGACAACATTCCTCCAGGCCTTCCTGTCCTCCGCCATCCCCCGGAGTCCACCTAAGCTCACACCCACCGCCCCCAGTGACCCCATCCAGCCACCTCATCCTCTGCCGTCCCCTTCTGCTTTTGCCATCTATTGTTCCCAGCATTAGGCTCTTCTCCAGGGAGTCCTTCCTTCTCATTAGGTGGCCAAAGTATTTGAGTTTAAGTATCTGGCCTTCTAAAGAGCAGTCAGGGTTGACCTCCTCTAGGACTGACCAGTTTGATCGCCTTGTGGTCCAAGGGACTCACAGGAGTCTTCTCCAGCACCACAATTCAAAGGCCTCAAATCTTCGATGAAAAAAGAACAAACCAAAAGCAGTTTAAAAAGTAATAAGATGTCTATGAAAAATTAACTGCCACCTAATGCTCAAAGAATAAGACAAATGTAAGTGCCTAAAAGCAGACAGTGCCAAATGAATCTTCCCATAGGAAGTGGTCTACATTTAGTATGCAACCATTGAAAAAGTCCCATTTCCAGGACTCCTCTGCCTTAATTTCTGAAGGTGGGCATCTGAAAAAGGGCTTCTGATTACTTTCCAGCTCAGCCTTTCCCCACTTGTTGCTTGCTCAATGTGCTGGACTATATGGATGGTGTAGCCCAATACATCAGTTCATAAGGAAGAAGATGGCTTTGAAGCCATTTGTTTCTGAGAGCGTGTAGGACATCAGCAGTGGACTTCTCAATAACATGTTGCAGTGTGAAGATGCTAGCCAGCCAGCTCTTCAGAATACCCCATGACATTCGTAGTCTGCCCCTGTGTTTTACTGTTTTGTTGTATTGTGTTTCTTTTAAGTTTTTAATTTTTAAGTGCCGAGAGAGCCTTTGGGCTTATTGGGTGGAATAAAAATGTATTAAATAAATTTATTCCCCATACTGGACCTTCTGCATGCCAAGTTGGTGCTCAACTTTTGATCCATGGCTGCTCCATCGAGGGCAATGCATTCCACAATGTCAGGATCTCACCCACCCTTCAACTACAGGTAAAGACATATATTTCCAATGATAGAAATATATGGAAAAACTGAACACAGTGGGAGGGAAAAGAGTGGGAGAAGACAGTGAAATGAAGAATCATGACCACCACTATAACTAGTTGGATTTGTAAGACTTTGCCAAATAAGAATAAGTATGTTTGCATCAAAGGCAACTTGGCAAGGGAACAGAGGGAACCGATCCACAATGTTTTTATAGCTGTGCTTTCAGGGGTTTGGAACATTTCCCAGCTGAGAGCCCTGGCTCAGGAGAGGTGCAGCCATTGGCAAGAATCAAATGCAAATCTATTGGCAGCCAGTGCAGAAACTTCACATCGCAACTGGCAGCATGAAAGTCCACATCAGACCGAGTGTGCTGTTGCTGCACAGTTCGTTACATCCTGACGTAACCATCATAACCCTTCCCTCAGTTGACAGAGACTATCTTCTTGACCCAGGTCGTTTAGGGCTTTAAAAGTCAATATTGGCATTTTGAGGATAGGCAGATTATGGCAACTGGCTTATATTCATAGCCGGTTTTGATGCTGAAAAGCTATGACCCAGCCCGAGTCCTCACTCGAGGGAACCTGCTCTGCCATTGCCATGCAGTGGGACCCTACGGTCTGGTCCAATCTGCGGCTGTCCTTGCAAGACTGGGCCATATGGTGGCCAGGGCCAGCACAAAAGATAGATATGGTTGGACTTCCCAACAAGGGTCTACTGGCAAGATCCCCCTAGAGCCACTCTTCCTCTTCCCCTCCCTCTTGCTCTGATCTAAACAGCCGCCGTGGTGAGGAACAGGGGCAGCAGATGTCACTGTGTGCTCACTTGTGGGCTCTCGCGGCAGCAACAGCGAAATAGGAACGAGAGCAGCTGTGATAATGGCAATGAGAAGGTGGACGGACTGAGTGAGGACGCATGTAGAAGTTGTCTTGTCCAAGAGCCCTGCAGGATTTGGAGCTGGTGCTGAGGGTGGTGGTGTGTCCTGCTTTACAGGGCACAGTCCTCTATTTGAAAGATAAAGAGCCCTATGAAGGCTTTGAAATTTCCCAATGAGCAGTTGGCATCTGAAAAATGTTTGAAACAAGCACACAAATAACATGGTCGTGGTTTTCCCACTGGAGTGAGGTGCATTATATGTCTATTTAAATTAGAGCAGCTTTCTTTTCTCCAAAATTGTAACCAATATATATACATCTATGTATAAATCTGCATCACATCATATGAAATGTGATGCAGGTTGGTGCTCTATTTTGTCATCTGTTTTGGTGGTGCCTAAGTGGCGACTCCAGTAAACCTTCAAGAGCCTTTTCTGCAGTGGCACCCCAGCTTTGGAACATGCTTCTCAGAGAAGAGTGCTGACACTATATTAATTTTGGTGCCAGGTCAAAACCTTTTTATTTTCCTGGTATTTTAAGAGTTTGTTAGTTTTAAATTTGGTTTTTATCTGGTTTTGTTTATTTTATGCTTTTTTACTGTTGTATTGCCATCCTGAGATCTTGGTAAAGGATTGGGTAAAAATGCCATGAATGAATGAATATTGTCAATGGAATTGCTCTGTTAACTGCACAAAGATACATTTCATCCCACCTGCCTAAAGATGTACTTTAGGTGAACATTTAATTTGGAAGGAGGATAAGGCGATTGATGAAAAGTCATGATGGCTGTCTAGAACCTCCAGTATCCAAGACCGTATTGACTCACTGGTGCAGTTGCTGGGGAACATGGGTGGAATGGTGCTATTGCATTTGTGTCTTGCTGTGGGCTTTCCAATGACACCTGTTTGGCCACTGTATGAACCAAGGCTTTTCTTATGATCCTGGAAATGCAGTATGCTAGCCGTCATTTGGGAGCTCTTTCTTTGTTTTTTCCACTCTTCTGAAATAAGCTTCCAAACCAGTCTTGCCTAATTCAATGTCCTCCAAATATGTTGAACTGAAAGTGCCATCATTTCTAGCCCACATGGTTAGGGAATCAAGGCTGCTGTAAATCCAAGGAGAAGAAGATGAACTGATTTACAAATAAGGATCAACATGGACAAAATGACTAATCGTTTAAAAAACTGCCATATCTGGTCTGAGTTCAAACGGAACAACAGTGCCGTAATAGGGAATCAGGGGTCGGGGGAGGAATGGGAAAGATTGTGCTAAATATTTCGATGCTTTTCTGGCTGTTAAATTGCAAG